TATAGAGCCAAAGATGTTAGAATTGTGTCAATGTCCCAATATTTCTGGACCTGACTGTAGGTAAAATTAAGATTGCCCTCATTTCATCTCTGACTGATTGTAGTCCCACTGGAGACCATTTACTTTTGGAGAATGGAGAATGTTTTATCTTTGTCCTGCCCTTTCCTGAGAGAACTCAACATGACTTACACATTTCCTCCTCTGGTGAAATGTATTCTCAAAGGTAAAATGTATTATCAAACTGAGGAAAAACTTGAACTATTTTCAATGGCTTGGAACTATTCACTTTGTTACTCTTATACTGTATCTGACATGGGCTTATTCCAGGACGTGGTCTCCAACATACATCTCACCTGGCTACATCATCTTTTAGGTATCAAACAGAAACATGTTTAATACCCAGTTATTCTAGCCAATAATATTTGAGCAAATCTTTTTTATTAACTTTACATTGTAAACACTATGTAAGCTCAACAGTATGACCAGTATATAGATACTTTAGCAAGCATTTGTATAATCTTCCCCAATCTGAAGAAGCATGGCCTTAGGGACTTGAAAAGCTGCGCTGTAGTTTAGAGTTCAGTACAATATCCAACTTCTCTTTCAAGCACTTCTGAAACATCAAACATTGAAGTCATAATATTCAGCAGAAACATTCATTGTCCATTCATACCCAGAATAATTAGTTGTCATTCCTAATTGCTTGCCTGCATGAACTGTGTTTTACATAGATCCAAAGGATTTGGCTTTTCTTGACACTTGAAAGAAATATCCTCATCTTAGACTCCTATTACATGAATAATGCAACATCTCTTCCCGGTTTTTGTTACTTATCTGTTCCTTTCAAACACAGATGTGGCCACAGAAAGTTGTTCTTGGCTGAAATCCAGTGACTTCCCCAACAGAGAGCCCAGAAAGATTACAACAGATAATGAGAAACAACAATGCAATACCGAACTACACTCAGTCTTCAAAAATGTTTACCCCATCTAGCCTTTTCACAGACTGAGCGGTTCACAAAACGGCACATAGGCCTTGATCCAAGTAGATCTCAAGTCATACGAGGAAAAAAAACAAAACAAAAGCAGATGAGCAATCCATTGAGTAGGTGTACCCAGCCAATCACCTAGCGTAATTCAAACACTTAGTCTAATGAAACAGTATAGTAATAATGCTTTCCATTTAGGAAGCCACTCACTGCATCCTGCCTCAGCAGCCTCCATCCCGCCCACTTTACCGACTCAGAGAGGTAAGAAAACCGGAGAACGGGGACAGATACCAGCAATGGTGGCCAAGTTAAAACAAAACTCCACCCAACACCCGAAACCTAAAGGCAACTACCGGCCGGTTACAGCAGTCGAGGAGTCCGGCAAAGAATTCGGAAACTGCATGATTGGCCCTCAAATCATAACACACCTCTAGAAACCGCACGGCCAGCATTAAACGCGGCTTTAAATCTCCCTCCGGTAAGTAGGGAGGGCGAGGCTTTTTGCAGACCTCCGGCCTATCGCATAGCAGGAAAAAAAAAGAAGCAGAACTTTGCCCAGTGATTGGTTACGCGAAGAACAAGAAAGTGGGTGTTATCTCCCCAATGCATCGCGGACAATAACACACGTGCTTGAAGCCCCGCCCACTAAACCCGTATCCAATCAGCCGTCCGCGTCCCCGCGGACGTAAGCTCGTCGGTCTACCAATTAAAAAGCTGTTGACCCCGAAACTGAGGCTCTTCGCGCTCGAGCGTTCGGTGGTTGGTTGGCAAAGATAGAGGTACTCGGGATTGGCCAGCGTAGCGGCGATAAATTTAAATTTCTG